ACCCTTCCAGTCCAGATGCACGTTTTTACCCGCCAAAGTATCAAATCCGATATCTCTTTAGCCATAATTAAGTACCGATTCAAACAATAAATGCAGTTCAGAAGGAAACATAGAAACTCCGATAAACGTACGAAAAATAGAAACTATAACAACACACAAATACTAACATCACAAAATGTTTTCACTATTCACCACAGTCGCCATATTCCGTTTGTCTATCTAAGTGTTCATAATTCAGTCTTGGTTCCTCTGAATTTCTGCTAGATCTGTCCAAGTTCAGTACCCTAATTTCCGTTTTCGTTCACTTACACAAAGTTATTCTTAAGCATCACTTTTGTAAAAGGAATCATTTGAATTTAAAGTAGGACCGTCTGCCGAGAGTTGTGTATTATCTACAAAATAGTCAGAATTAAAATGAGAATCACCAACTTTATTAGTCTTCACTGGGCCTGCATGTCTACTGTGAAATGAATTGTCATTCTAACCATGTGATTACGGATTCTCTGAATTAAAATTCTCCTAGATGGTCGATTGGTCATTTCCACGATAAAAAAAACTGTGCTTCAAACGATGATTCATTTACAAACTCAGTTTAAAATATGTGAAGTTATTGGAGTTTAGCTGGACTCCCATGAGTTTGTAGTGGGTCCAGTCACGTTTGACTATGATCACAACTACAAGGCCAATTACGTTACAGTCGCCAGGTAAATTCCCCCCGTAAAAGCAAAATCAAGAAGGTTTGACCTGGGAGTGAATATGTGATTTGCTGACGATCTCGGGTATCGAAATAATGCAGAGATCGTACCAAAGGATACAGGCGAAACTACTGTGCATATAATGAGCGAGATGAAGACCACGTGAAACGATAATCAGGTCAAACCAATTCAGTTAAAATAAGATTACAGTAAAACAAACACTGGTGCAATTGTTTATGATAACATATATTTCTATTGAACCAATCGCGTTCGCTTCATAAAAGTGGAGTCACTACAAGTTCTTGAATGTTCTGCATTACGATATATTTAGTTGCACAATAAATACATTTACTATAAGTCCCGCATACCCAACCCCAGTCTCAACATTAAACACCTAGAAACTAGATGAAAAACATCATAAAATGGGCTGTAAGAACATATTCTACATCTTAATGGTATTCAATTCTGGAATTCACCGCCTGGTAAGATGGTCCACGAGACTTCTCAAGAGTCCATCAAGAAGAAACTTGACAGATTCACAAGGACTCGAGGCATTTTTTCATGATAAGGTACTAATATTTCTCTGTTTCTCGTTAAGTTTATCTGGGTTCTTACCTTGAAGTTTCGGTGATCCACTACCATTAGATGCATGAGATCGTGAAGTGAATACTAGTTTTATACTACATATAACTGTTTAAACCACTTGAAATTAACCACTCAGTCAAGCGACTACCATTCAGTGAACATTATCAAATACCTGGAACCTCAACTAAAGAACATAAAGCCAGAGTAAAGAAAAGGGTATTGGTTATTGGATCTGGCCCGGGGTTTCTGATTACTGCGCTACGTTATGTAGGACAAATGAAGTGTGTGTTAGTCGTTTAGTTAATTCGTTACCATACAAAAAGGTACTGCTTAAAAAATTTTCACTAGAAACGGCATCATTTTTGCCTAATAAGCGTTCATGAGACCAAGAAGTGGCTATTTTAACCATCAAAATAAATAAATGTTAAGGATAGACGATCATATGACTCATGAGTTAAAAGACGCATTTCAAGATGTTTCTGAATCTACTGTTGAGGATCAAATTCAGCCAGTCAATCACGTCAAAATCTTGCCGGTGGAAGTGGGGTTTTTGCAAACTTTTCGAAGAAATGGCTGAACCACTGTCATTTCCAATCCTCAAATCTCAATGATGAAAGGCGAATAATAAAACTAAACAGGAGCCACAAAATTCAAGGCAGGAAGTAGTGTGGAAAGCGACAGAAACGCTTCTGTGCTGCGTAATGATATTAACCCTATGGAAGCTTTCTAATGGTAGCAATCCGGATGATGACCTGAAAATTCTGGAACGATATCGAATGCTTGTTAATTCTTATTCTGATTCCGAACCATATCGAAATGAAAAATTCCAGGTAACGTCTCAGCATTTTTGTCTTACCTACGATAATGGTTCTAAATTTATAAAGTCTGCGAAACATCACTTGGTATAATGACCTTACCCTCAGACTTAAAACGGACTGAGTTTTGTTTTGAAGCCATCTAACCCACCCGTCTACTCAGATCCAAAAAACGTTTTTCATTCTTATGCCCAACTAGGTCGTCTTGACGGACAGGACTTGATACTGCATTTTGGTTGAAGCGATAGTCAGTTAGTTGATCTTTAGAAATACTACCCAAAGTATATTATATACAAGTAACTCTATTCAGTCCTTATAATTTGCTGCTCGTCCGCTTATTAAGATCGTTTCTTTTAGAGATACTCCAATGTAATTGAAATGGTTATTTAAATTCACTTGTTTTTAATCCTTGCCATTCACTCTTACTGCGTTGATTTTTGATATTGCAAATTAGACTAATACATATTTGAGACGGGTCCACTGTTCTCTGAGTAAACATAAAGCTATAGCTCAAAGCTAACAAAGGAGATGAAGGGATGTAAAGTTAATGACCACTCAGGTATTTTTTAGGAAGCTAGAGAATAGGTGTAACTAGCAATTTTTTCCCATGTTCTCCGTAAGTCCTCCAACTATATATTAATAACTACTGTTGTGGTCGAAATTATAAAGCCAAATGGTATGTCCTTTATCTTCACATAGGCTGTTGTCGCAAGGCAAATATTACCCATTTTAAGATTATTCACTTCACTGCTAGACTGAAAATTTTATACGCGTAGAATACAGTAGTGTAAAATGCTAACCTAAAATATGGTTATATTTTCACTACTTGGTTACAGTCTACGAATCTCAGTCAAAGTAAATTGAAAATAAATGATGACGAGTCAAGAAATTCAAGGGGACAAGTTTTGCTTGCAGATAAATCTCTATAAATATGCTGAAAATAAATATGCGTAAATGTAGTAATACAACACGGCTTCTTAAGTTTTAAACCAGTAACTCAATACTTAAAGTCGTATGCTCTGTTTTACTTAACTACTAATATCCCTACCGTAGCTGCTACCTTGACGTGGTGGTCTGGCCTGCCTACGTGATAACCCAACCAAATTATATTGGCTTGTAACATATGCACGATATTCGTAGTTACTAGTACTCGTGGTATTCTAAGACGACTGAGTAAGCAATCCCTAAGTTAGGAATTAGGTTCTGGTAAAGATGGAAAACTTATTGACTATGTAGTTGATCTTCATCAAATTAAGTGGTTAGTTAGGACATGTGTTGCGTATGTACAACTACCATCTACCCACATGGATCGATGTTGGAGTAGGTTGGAGGATAGACAGGGATGTCCAAAGCAAAGATACGACATCATTCCTTAAATTCGTCGATAGTTGGAACTGGGGCATGTTAGTAAGTGCAGACTACCTGGTTGGGTGGGGTCCGCGTACTGATCATAACTAGTAGTTAAGACTGTAAATGACGTGGCTCAAAAATCGTTTTCAATAGCACTGGTGCATCCATTCTGTCTTCTCTTAAACTCTAGTCTTCTGAATTCCTCAAAAGCGTTTTTAAAAATTTTCACTTTTTTTTCTAGAATCTTCGGGTCTTCAAGTCCCTATCTTTTCCATTGCCACTAATGCCATTACTACCTCAAGTGCTGTGAGATTTCCCGGGAAAATTTCATCTTTCTGTGCTAATTGGCTCATAACAACTTGAACTAATGTACGTACGTACGAGATTTTACGTTGCGATTGACTGACTGACTGACTTCAGTTTGATTAGTCAGCTAGTATTTATTGTCCTTTATACTACAAATGCATATCTATCGTCTAGTACATAGCTACATTCATTTGTAATTTTCTGTTTTACATTATTTACTGATGATAATAATATGTGCCTTCCTTTTTTGTTCTTTCTTCTTTTCAAACTATCAAAGATGAGACAATCATTTCATGATGATACATTGAAACGTGATACATTACCACATGGTATAGCAGAATATAATCCAAATGATTTAAGTAGTCAGTTGTGTTTTTCATATATACATAGAAATAAACCACCAAAAATATTGGCTAATCGTTTTCTTCTTGGTTCTACAATTGGTAGAGGAAGTTATGGAAAGGTAATTATTATTCCATTTTTGCATTACAGTATTATGGAGATCGTTTTTTAACTTTGAAATCATGAATGAATCATTGTTAGACCATCATTAGAAGGCTGAAATCACTAGAAAGCCGTTTCGTCCATGTATGGGACTCATCGGCAATGCTCATCCAGGACTTCTGCTACTCATAGGATTCAAACCGAGGACTTTCTGTCTCATGCACGAACGCTTAACCTCAAGACCACTGAGTAGGCATCCGAAAGTGTTAATGTCTAACTTCAATCTAAGGATTTCGCGCTACCTCACCCATTGTCTTCGGTAGCTATTGCCTACACCTGACAGGGTTGTACTCAACTGGTCACGTCTTCTCACTAGAACTCGGAGAATTTCCTTACGAAGCTGGTCACTAGTGAGCACATTTGTGATTTATGCATTAGAAAAAAGAAACGCCGTCCAGTGCTTCCAGGTTTTTTAATGGTGATCTAATAATCATTCATTCATGATTTCAATTCTTTTATTATCTGTCGTTGTTCTGAACTAGTTTGGTAGCATTTATTCTTTTTTGTTACATTTTAAAGTATTTTTTTATGTAATCCAGTTTTATTTTAGCATTGATAATCTTCTGAAAACAGATATGAAAGAAGTGCTTGACATAATGTCAACTTTTTTATATATGGAGGGAGAATGAATTTTAAGTCTTGCACATGTGTATGATATTGTTTTCTTGTGTAAATCACTACTCATTCTAGTCGACGAAAGTTAGGTGAACAATATTCATACTTGTATGTATGTACTACGGAGTATTGAAGTGTGAACAGCTTATAATAGACTGATAAGGATCTAATATTTTTATATTCATCTTTTGTGATGATCTGTTGTAAATAGTGCAAAAGTTCTTATATCTCTAGATAACTGTGTAAGTGACAGGCAATATAAACTTCCGTATCATAAACTTGATATCGATGGGCACTAAAATGGGCCATCTCTAAAACCATAAGTTTAACTATAAATGATAAAGTGTATAACTCTGTAATGTTTGCAGTTCTATAGTTTGTTTATGAAAATGAAAGTATTCATTCATTGTTTGTATTCGACCATTATTATCTCTATAAGAATTAAATCTCATTGATTATCAACACTGTGTAATATGTGTGAATAGTAAGTATTATATTCATATAAAGGTTTTAATGTGTTACTCACATTCATGCAACATCATGAAATTGTATAAACAAAATGGTCAACTGATGATGATCTGATATTTAGCTAAATATGTTCATCCATCTCAAAACTCTTTTTCGATGATAGACCAAGAAATTGCATATTTCATTTCTTCTAGATATTGTTATAAAACATGGTAGCCCTTTCATTCATTTGTGTTGTTTTTTGTTAAAAATCAATGGTCAACTAAATAAATTATACTCTGATTGTTTTTCTTTTTTAAAATTTAAACTCATCTTTCTCAGGTGTGTATGCAATACAAAGAGCATTTAGATAAATAAGATTCCCACTGTTATAATTAAATCTATTTTATCTTGTCTTACACAAACTAACATTCACGTGTCAAGATCAATGAATCAAGATAAATCAGAATGGAATTTTATTAACTCATTATTCATTAGGTACTTGAGCTACATTCTAAATTACAAAAGCTAATTATGCTACCTATTTGCTCAAATAGAAGTAAATAAAGTGAATTTGGAATTTGCAATTAAGTAGTTGAAATTCAAATCACTAAACAACCCACCGCTCCATCATAATTCATCAAAACAAAAATCAACATTTAAACTACCCTGATTAGATATCGATTTTGATTGTGCGTTTACAGATAGCTGAAAGTAAACTATCAACACTGCGCACATCCACAACCCATGATACCCACAGGAATCGAATCCAGGACCTTCAGTCTTATGCTCAAACGCTTAACCTCTAGTCTAACACTGCTTTCAAAACAAATTAACAATCTCTACAACTCTTTAATGAATATTTACAAAAATGCCCATATTATGAATTAGAGCAAAACAAATATAAGAGATATTTTGGGGCAGAGTTTTGGAGGTTTTTGTTTTTACACATTTGAAATCATCAATCAATCATTGTTAGATCACCATTAGAAACCTGGAAGCACTGGACGGCCGTTTCGTCCTGGTATGGAGGACTCAGTAGTGCGCATGCACGATTCCTGCACCTCGTAGGATTCGAGCCCGGGACCTTCGGTATTGTGCGCGAACGCCTAACTATCAGAGTTAGACATTAGCACCGATGGATGCCGGCCCAGTGATCCAGAGGTTAGGCCTTCGCGCGCAAGACCGAAGGTCGCGGGTTAGAATCCTGTGAGCTGCTGGAGTTGTGGATGCACTCTGCTGATTAGTCCCATACCAGGACAAAACGGCCGTCCAGTACTTCCACGTTTCTAATGATGGTCTAACAATGATTGATTGATGATTTTAAGTGTGTGAAATATGAGAGAACAATATTGTGAAGATTGTCAAGTTTCATTGAAATCATGAACTGATATCACTGTCAGATCATCACTATGAAGAACCTGGAAGTAATTCTTTTTATGTTTTCAATTAGATCTTCATCAGGCTTTACTCTAATATTCAAATAATCTTTACATACATATCTATGAAAATATCAAAACTCAAATTCATGCCTATTTAATAATAAGTCACTGATAACAGTGGAATGAATAAAAAAAATAATACAAATTGATCGACAGTAGTATAATAGTGAGAAATAAACTAGTTTTATGATAAAAATATTCAAAGCTTCAATCATTCTAGAATTAGACGAAATAATTTAAAGAAATAAATACTAAAATGATATTTAACAAAAAAATGAATTGAAAATACTTTATGAGTAGTGCTCAACTATTTGAACAATCAAATGTACGTATTGCTTTTTTAGAAAAAAGGGAGTGAAAAAAAAAAGATAGATGAATAAAGAGTATTAAAAATAGTAAATAAATAAAATCGTCTGTTAAGATTAATTATTTGAACTAGAGGAGATAAACTCCACCAATGTTAGCGATTTTGGTCTTGTCGCAGAGAATCAATAAAACTATGGCGGGAATTATTATTTCCACTTCAGAGCTCCTGCTATTCACAGTACTCATTAAAGGTTTACTCATTAAAAATGGACAGCTTTGTGCGATAGTCATGATGAAAATAAAATCAAAATATAGCATGTAATCAAACCTCCAATCGGTGCTATAATGAAAATTGTTCCAAAATACGTATAATGTAGTGATTAAATCAACGAAAACATGACTGATTATAGTACACTTCGATAACTTGACAGTGCGGGGTTTATTTCTTACTCTTCATTTGACTAAATAAAACATAGAGGTGTGACGGTTTTCTTATGAACACAAAGATCAAATCTTAACAACTTCGGTTATATATATATAAAATTCAAAATTTTTTTTCGGCGTTAATCCACAGTATTGATAATTCATATTTAAAACGTGAACCAAATTATTATACGGACTCCCTATTCGAACACTACAGGTCAATTGAGAGCATACGGGGAAATGTCATAGGAATTCTTTACTTCAAGTGGTGTACGTCAGGGATGTCCACCTTACCCATTCTTGCTTAAATTTGTCGTAGACATGCTATTTTATATAATATTACCTTCGTCTGAATTTTCACGAGAATGCCTTATACCAGGAGATTTGCTTGTTAACTTCAAATATATACCAGTAACAGTTCTATTTGGTGAAGACGCTGACAAAATGTTGCTTCATAGTTGGCTTACATCGGCACCTGAACTAGTGATAGGAAAGGAATTAGTTGAGCGTGTTGGCAGCCTCACTTATATCGGGAGTCTCATAAGCGCTGTTGGTCTGGTGACTGAAGAAATCTCACCACGGATACAGAAGGCTCGATGGACTTTTACCATCTTACATCACCTATGACATAGGCAAGATTTCCGTCCAACAACTAAAAGACAGGTGTACTGTGCAGCAGTTTGCTCAGTCCTACTATATGGCTGTGAAACATGGTCAGTAAGAGTAGAAGATATTCGTAGGTTATTAGTATTCGATTATAGATGTCCTCGAAGCATTACTCGTATATCCTAGGACAACCGATTAAGCAATTCTGTCGTTAGGAAACGAGTAGTAGGTAGTGATGGCAAATCAATAGATGCAGTATTGTGTTACGAATGCCCAACCACCGAATGCCTTGATAATCTATGTTGTATGATGTAGGGGTAGGCTGGAAGAATGTTAGCGACGGCCAGATCAAAACATGGCATAGATCTATGAAGTCACTGACAACTAAAATTGAGTCATGTTGGTAAGTGTAGACTAACTGGTTGTGGTCCCCGACACAATAGTAGCCGACGGTTAGAGACCTTGAATGACATGGCTCAAAATCGTTTTCAATAGTGTGAGGATGCATCCACTCTTTGTCTTCTCTGAAATTCTAATCTTCCGAATTCCTCATCACCTCTATCTTTCTCTTTATAAATTTATTTCATTGAATTACTGTTCTTGAATAATATCTTCGAACCCTAACCTTCTCTAATACTTCTATCTCTACTACTATGGGATTTGAATTGACAATTGCGTCTCTGTGGTATGGCAAGCTGAACTGATGTACGTATGTACGAAGTTCTACTTTGTAGCTGGCTGACTGAATCAAATTATTGTATTTCATTCACTAACCATTTCTCAAAAATACAATCCTGTGTGTTTAATTCGTCGCTTCAAAAAATTACTTGTTACCCTGTTACCCTTGATGGAACAAAGCCTACCAACCAGCGAAATATTTTTTCTAGTTAGCGTTCTTTTGGCCAGTTAGATTTTTACTAGATAGCGACACTAACCCCTTGCCCAACCATCCTGCTTTACCTGGACTTGCAACCGCAAGTAACCCCAGAAAGACTCCAAGTAAGAGTCACATCAAAAGAAAAAATACTTTGAAATATCTTCCAAAAAAATACTTTAGAATCTTTTATTAATCTTTATCAATCATTTTATGTCATATGATGAACAATACAAAGCAGTTTTA